GAGGAGGCGGATACAATTAAGTTAGGACCTCTGGCTCGGCAGAGAGTCCAGTTGAAGATGAAGAGTCTACTAAAAACTTTTGAACTTGGCGGAGGTAAACCCGCGAATATTTGCGTGTTAGGCGAAGTAATTCGGAGCAGGTGCAACACCGTCGGCTTGGAAGCCGAGACTGGGCCTTATAGTGTAGATTTTTGACTCTGAGTGACTGTGTGAGAAACAATAAAATGTTCCAGTGGCAAAGTGCATTGTGTTGGTCAGAAGTGCTTCACCCTCACTTGTCCGAGCCTAACCCTTAGCCGACCTGAGGAGAGAACTCATCGCCAGGAGCTAGTCGAACCCATCGCCAGCTTCCACCCCACTCACGCCTTCCCTCCTTTAAAATGAATCGCAAACAGCACCTAGCTGTTTGCTGGCGCCCATAATATCAGGTTCTATGCTGAAATTCCAACCCCGTAATCAGCAACGGAAGGAGGAAGCGGTGGAGCCGGAAGAAGCGGTGGAGCCTGGTCAAGCCGGAACCAGCCACGACCTAACAACTTCAACGGAGGCAGCACCAGGTAGGGCAGTCAAAGTGACAAGTGGCAACCGCCTTGTGGGCAAGAAGCCTCAAACAGAAGGTGGGCGGTTAGAGACAGGTCTGTCGTTTACAATTCATGTTGGTCTTCGCCAGCGCAATCATTCTTAGGTCTGAGTCCCATGGGATTCGTGACGATATTTTACTCTGTCAGTTTCGAGACTCCTCCAGTCTGGAGGGCCAGGTGCCCGTATTTATATCCCCCAAGAGCAGGGTGGCCAAATTATACCCTCAGGCACTGGGTTCTGTTCTTGTCGCCTGTTACTACTCACAGGACTACGGTAGAGATATTGTAACCCACCCCCACGCTTGAATTCGGCATTTGAAGTCAAAGTCGAAATTGCTTTACGAATGGCGGTTTACCGCCAATCAGCTCGTCTTGGCGTCAAGCCCCTTCTAAATAATGTATAAAATCCAGACGTTACGCCTCCTCTGCAAAGCCGAACCGGTTAATGCCGTTTAGAGAAACAAACGCTGTTTATTGTGAGAACTGTACGACACAAACAAACACATTCTGTGGCCAGAATGCAGTTGTAGCGTGTTAAATCATGTGATATATATAGTAACCATTGGACTTTAAAGGGTTCGGTGAAGGCACTGTAGTAAGATGAAATTTATTATTATTATTATTATTATTATGGCTCTACAGCCCTTTCTTGTGCCTGGGCCCCTTTCTTAGTTTCTTGATCCTATACACGGCCGGTAGGACTCCTTGGAAGGGGGATCAACCCTTTGCAAGGCTTCTATCTACATACAGAACAACACAAACAGAATAAATGCACACAATACGAACACCTATGCTTTGAGTGTGATTCGAACCCACGATCCCGGCTTCGGAGCGAGAGAAAAGAGTACATGCCTTAGACCTCTCTGCTACTGTGACCGGCACTTATTTGCTTAGGCATCTAATATTTCTGTGAAGCTGGAATGTTTTAAAGGAGAAATATTTAATCTTGCCTACAAGTAGGTACAAATCCTGCTACGTGTTTTGGATGTTCCAGATTTGAATATGGCTCTGGAGTACGGCGACCTTCACCAGGTGTTTTCGTGTGTTTGTTCAGTCTAGCTAGGAAAACTCCGTGCTAGTGCCCCATATTCAGGCTCCACCGCTTCCTTCCACATCTTCCTTAACTAAATATTCACTAATTGTCCTGTTGCTCTAAATTATTTAGACTTATTCTAAGGTAGTGAGAGTTTCCGTAAGTAAACCATGAATAAGGAAGTAAATAAATAAATCTAGAAATAAAGTAATAAATTATTCTTGGTGCATACTCGCAAGCTTCTAGTCTTTCAGAGACACTTTCAGTGGCTCTTCCAGTCCAGGCCTCTAATTCAGTTCCGTAATCATTTTCACAGACGGTAGGACTCCTTGGGCGAGTGATCACCATCTACCTAAACAATATCAACACGAACACAGAATAAACGCATACACAAACCAAACATTCATGCATTAAGTTGGACTCGAACCCACAATCCCAGCGTCCGAGCGAGCGAAGGCAGTTCATGCCTTAGACCACTCTGCTACTGTGAACGGATTACCGAGACAAGACAGGACAATAAGGGTTTTGAACCCCCAATTCAGACTAATGCCAAACTTGGCCTTCTTCAACTCCATAGGACTGAACGTAGTACAGCACTAGCCCTACGTTCCATATAGATAAGTGGCTGCTGTAACAGTGCACTGCGCATGCGCCTCTCCCCTCCGAGCCGGCCGCTCTCTTGCAGCGCTGGGTAGGATAGTACTCGTATTAAAAAGAAAACGAACCCTCTTACAAGAAAGGAGAGCTGAAGGAGCTAACGATAAATGGGTTCAGATAGAAAACAGAATTCTTGATGACTCTAGAGGGATCCAATTTATTTAAGAGGGCAGCCATGTTCTATCGACGTTGAAGGAAACATCCAAGTTTCCTTCTTCCTGAGGCTGAAAGATGTGGCCAGTTGGTCCAATATAAAGTGAAACATGTTTATCGGAAAACTGTCAGGACTCTGAAGACTCCTTTTCGGAATCTGTCACATGAAATTCTTTAAGCAGTGGACGTGGCACGGAGCTTCCCTTCTTCACCGCATAATGTCCTCTGTTACGAGACTCAGATACAGAGAAACTGAGATTTGTATGATCCAAACTGCTTCATACTTGGAATATTCAGAAGTTTAGGTTCTAGTAATTAAAAGCATATCGATAACCTCAATTAATGTACCTTATTCACCCTACAGAAGAATATAATTTGGGGGCTTTGAGAAAAGGTTGCTAAGAACAATGTTGAAATGTATGTAAAGTAAAGTTATCTCTGTGCTTAGCTAATTAAGCACTACGCCATGAAGGAATATGGCGGGAGTGGATGTATAGATCCACATGTTCTTGACCTCGGCAAATAGTTGGAGGTGAGTGGTCAGTTTCACGGCCCGGCTGATTTACTCGAGGGGAAAGAGTCCCCTCTACCCTTTGGATATGAGGTTTGGTGAACCCCAGAGCCGGTCTGGACGTCGTGCAGAAGAGAAAATTCTTGACCCTAATGGGACTCGAACTCCGACCCCTCGGTTCAAAAGTAGTTAAGTTTTTTTTTTCTAGTTTCTTGGGGAGGAGTGAAGCTAAGTCCACTTGGTACGCCGACCACTAATTGGCCTACTGTAAGAGCCCGGATGACACGATGATGATGATGATGATGATGAGGATGATGATGAGTGTGGAGCAGTTGGTGGTATGTAAGAAAATGAAGCAATCAGATGATCGAGACAATTGTATCTTGGTGTCTATCTACGACTCTACAGCCCTTGTAGGCCTTGGACGCTTTTTCATTTTCTTACTCCTATACACAGTCGGTAGGGCTCCTTGGACGGGGGATCATTCCGTCGCAAGGCCGCTACCTACACACAGAGCTACATAAACACAAAATGAATGCGCACAGACATCCATGCCTTGAGTAGGATTCGAACCCAGGATCCCAGCGTTAGAGCGAGCGAAGACAGTTCATGCCTTAGACCGAGCGGCCACTGTGATCTCCTTCAAAATATCTATATCTCATTAAGAATAGTTTGGAGTCATCATATCAAGAAGGTTGGGACAAACAGCGCATTTATGTCAGAAGTTCACTCCCATTCAAAGTGGGAGAGGTAAGACTAGAGCGGACGGGACAACATAAATATCGGATTTGAGGATCTTACTGCGGTGGTTATGAAGTTCTATTTTCTTGCATAAAACGCCACATAGTTCGTTGGAAATTAAAACTGCTTTGACGATGATTTCTTGCTTAGCTGATGATGGGGGTGACATATTCCTCCGAAACATCGGTTGACTTTCAACGGACTACAAGGCGTTATATCCCAAAAAATAGAACTTTTCAACATACACCTGGATACTAGGACAGTCGGGTGTGAGAATGAATTTGTTTTATTTGGATCAGAGTTTCATGAAGTTCCTACTGTTGTGAATAGGCTAATGAACATTTGGGCTATGAATTTATTAACTTGAGCGACTATTGGCTTCAGAAGTTGGACCTGGAGTCAGTGTCTTTTGCTCACGCCTTAGTCTTATAATTTATAAATCATCATCATCATCATCATCGGCAAAACAGCACTTTTCTTAACCACAGCCTTCCTTAGAAGGTTCTGCCAGATGTAACCATTCCTGGGATTTACAACATCCGTTTTTCACTTTGGATTTCGCAACAACAGTATTTTACATAGCAAGATCGTCAGCCTTGGCCCCAGCCCCCAAACCTGGAGGACCAGGTCTCTATAGTTATGTCCCCCAGTGGCAGGGTGGCCCGGCTATACCCTTTGAGCATTGGGTTGTCTTTTCGTCACCTTCTACGACTCGCAGGGCTACGGTGGGGGTAATCTAACCCGCCTCCACACGGGGAATATTTTATAAGTTAATTCTGAAAATATGTTAGTAACCTAAATGAAAAAGAGGAAGAATGTTTCGAAGTTTAATTCAATACATTAAATTCAGTTACTGCTATGGTATGACGGATGGTGCTTCTTATTGTTGCACCTGTGGCAGGTGTTGACCTGTTCAACAAGTGACTGACAGCTGTGCGTGGCGGAATGGAATGCTCAGTGTGCCAGACAACTGCGCATGCGCGGTAATTACAGCGAATTTTCCGTGAAGTGAATTTATGCTTCGTGGAGGGGCCCAGTGTGACGGGAGGAGCTACCGAGAGGCGCTATCGGGACATGTCTCGTCCTTCTCTTGGAATTCCGGTTTTCTCTAAATGCGAATTCGGTTGTGTGAGTTCCTTTTCTGACTGTAACAAAACAGCGCCACATCCATTTCCTAATTAATTTCTCCTTACCGTGAAAGTAATGGCTTACTCATTACATTATTCAGATTCCTAGCGTTCTGTTTCCTTTACAATTTCCCGTCTTTCATCAGGTCATGGATTTTCTCTTTTCCTTTTTGGTTTGTAATATGGGAATCTACTTTCTTTTCAAATGTTGAAAACATTTTCAGGAGTAGCTGCATTAATCAGCACAGGGAATATAGTTTAATTTCATTGTCTTAATGATAGAAAACGAATCTTAAGGCTTTCGACTCATCTCCATATAGTGATGAAATTAAGGAGAAGCAGAGGCCACGCAGTAATTAAGGTGGTTAGTCGTCGGCTTCCCACCGCTGCGGCCCGGCTTCTAGGCCGGGTGAGGTCTGTGGGATTTATGGTAGACAAAGTGGCGCTGGGGCATGTTTTCTCTGAGTACTTCTCTTTCCACTTCCAATTCGCATTGCACCGATTGCTCCACAATCATCATCATCAGCATACGGAACTGGAACAATAGGTCAAAGAATGGCTGCAGTGCCAAGTGGACTCATTCTCACCCCATGAGAAAAATACAAATTTGTAGATAGGAGGAGATACCATTAAATTTTCCCACAAGTCTTCCTAGGCTGGGGCTTAATTTACCACCTTACCTATTCCACGCACGTGTTGGGCTGTTTATATATTCACATTAAGACCAACTTTTACTGGATAATACATTATGAGAGATAGAAGTAAAATTGTGAACATTTTCAATTGATAGGGCACTGATTACGTTTCGACTTCTTGCAAATAATTTCGTGAAGATAAAATATTTATTTGAATGGTATTTCGTATTTTCAATTTGGATGCGTATTACACGTATTTACTTTATACAAAACCTCTGAAAATGGTGGTGACGTGATTTCCTTTAATGTTTCTATATAGAATGCATATATTCCTTCCATACAATATCTGTATAACTCATCATGTATAACTGTATCATGTCTCACGCTACAGCCTAAATTAAAATACGTGCACAGTGTCACCCTCTACCGAGACTTGAACCATTATTCCCTTCCTAGTGCTAAATTACATTCACCATAGTGATTGACCTAGAGCAGTGTTGCCAAAAGGGAGCTGTACCGCCCCCTGGTGACGGTGGGGCGGTAGGGAACGCTGGAGGTGAGGCCTTCCGAGCGCGTTGTTCCCTTGTGAACAGGAGGTTGGAGAAAACTGCATAATGAAGAGCTTCATAACTTGTGTACTCTTCTCCAAGTATAATTATAATGATCAAGTCAAGGAGGATGAGATGAGCAAGGAATGTAGCACGAATGGAGAGAAGAGGAATGCATATAGGATATTGGTGGGAAAGCCAGAAGGAAAGAGACCAGTGCGAAGACCAAGCCGTAGGTGGGTGGACAGTATTAAAATGGATATTAGAGAGATAGGATTGGATGGTATGGATTGGATTTATCTGTCTCAGGATATGGATCAGTGGAGGGCTCTAGTGATGGTAATGAACCTTCGGGTTCTATAAAATTCTGGGAAGTTCTTGAGTAGCTAGGGCTCAACTCCATGAGTGAGTGAGTGAGTAAGTGTCTTTAGACCAGACATTGGAAAAGTAGTATCACTTGATCAAGTCCATCCATTGCATTAAAAATGTTTGGGAACCACCGGTCTAGAGCTTTAGATCCTCTGTATTCCGTTCGATTCTCGACTGGGACAAAGGCTACCTTGACTGAGGCATTTCCTGGTTTTCCTCACTCCTTCCGGCCAAATTCCGGGATAGTACCTCGACTAGGCAACGGCCGCTCTCTTCAAGATTTTATCCAGTAGTCTGGTTACTGACATCAGCCTTAAATAACATAAAAAATTACGTTCGCAGATTTCACTTTACACTTAATCTAATAATGAAATGACAAATGTTTCATTTTCCACCTTACGCCAGATTTCAGTGGTGATGTAGCGGTACTATCTAAGGTCCTGTGACAAAAACCGAGTCCACAGAATCGTATTCATGTACTTCCGCTGGTTATATTTGCCTCACTGATGACTGTCTCCATCTGCTCTGGTCAGTGCAGCCTGTTTTGTTAGTGTCCCCGCTCCCCCGATGTAACTAATAGCCCGAAAGGGAACAGTAACGAATGCAACCCACACAGCAAGGTAATTAGCGTCCGATGATTGCCGGTGAATACGATACAACGCGAACAAACCGCGGCAAGTCCACTTTGCTATGGAGCATTGGTTTGTTTTGAACTAAAGGTGATAAGCATGAGAATGCTGGGATAGTACGGAACAGTATCTTGCGGTGTCTGCCTTCTTTGAAGAAACCGGTTTGAAGGCTCCCACCGGAAGTCTCGGCATTGTTAACGATTACTGCGTAACTGATAAGCCCGATAACATGGTTTCTACTGATACCGGCCTTTGTGTGACGTCATGACTCATTCTTGAACTTGTAACTAATCTTTCCACTTCTAGATCCGTCATGACGCGGTGCAGTCATCGGGGTTCGGTTCCCTACAGGAGCAAGAGACATGTCTTCTCCGCCACGTTCAGACTGGTTCTGGGGCCCACCAAGCCTAATTTGTAAATGGCACCAGAGGGCTCTTTCCGCGGGGTAAAACGGGCAGGGGCGTGAAGTTGACCACTCACACACACCTAGTGCCAGGTTGAGAATCCCTGCATCTGTACCTTCACTTCTCCCTACGTCTTCGTATAGAGCTATCTACTTAGCTAATTAAGGACAGTAACAAGTTTACCTATACACGTCATATAACAGTTGTATTTAAAATTTTTACATTTGGTAGGCATGTTTGTGTACACACACACAC